TTGAGGAAAATATCACGTTCCTTTTGTAAGAATGTTATTAGATCTAAATTATCATGTTATTCTACTAGAACCTTTTTTTCTTGTGATTGTTCTCTGCCCTTGTTGTTAGCTGCTGTTGAGGATGAAGTGGGCATGTTCACCTCTTGTCTCTTTGAGTTGCCCATTGCATCATGTTAGGAGCGATTGGCTCCTCTTCTACCTCTATTTATCTTTTTTGGAATTGTTTGTTCTTCAAGTCTATTTATTCTACCACTCAGTTTTTCAAGGTTGGCCAATATGAGCTGCAGCAAGTCTTGGTTATCTTCTACCTCTGATCTGATATCCTCACTGCTTATATTCTGCTGGTAAGTCCTTCATCTTCTTATCAGCTTTCTGTTACTACCTATAGTGGGATATCTAGTTGTTCTATAATTCTCCTGTCTTACTCTATTATTATTCTTTTGTTTTATTTGTTTTTGATTTCTGGAGTGTGCAGGTTTTATAGTGTTGCAATGATGATAAGAGGAGGAAGATAAGGATCTTATGGACTTATAGCCTGATAGTGAATCTGAAGTTGAGTCATTATATATATTGATTTTTTGGGATTTTTGATAGTGTGATTTCCTTTCTTCACATATAGAGCTAATATTTTCTCTATTGCTGGGATTTTTCACACTCCAGGATAGTCTTAAGTCTTGTAAGAAAATATATTGTTTGCATGCCTTGTCCCTATACTCTCTTGTCACAAAACAGACAACTGTAAAGTTCTATTTCTTTAATATATAAGGGTTTTTGTGAGTGTAGCATACTTTTGCCTGGGTACCATGTAGAGCTCTTGCTATTAAGCTGGTATACGTTTTGTTTGTACTCAATAATTTAGTTGAGTTGATATTTCTCTTGATTAGGATGGCATTTATCTTTTCATCGGTTAGCTCTGATTTAGTGAAGATGGCTCTGGATGTTCAGTACCTATAGGTGTTGTCCATGCTTCTGTGAGATCCTATTTAATATGTTTATGAAGCTTGAAATAGGCCTTGGCCCTAATCTTCATTTTGACTTTATAGATATGAATATTTTGAACTATTCCATATCTCTTGAGATGTTCGGCTATATAACTTCTAGAAATCTTCTAATCTAAATCTATTAGGCTGAAATGCTATATATTAAATCTATTTTCTCCTTTGAATTCCTGAAAGATTGTTTTGTTTTTCTCTCTTTTGATCGTATGGATAGAACGTGGAGTGTAAGGAGTTATTTGTTGAATAGTGAAGTTATCCTCTTTGCGGTTTATTTCTTCTATGCATTTTAGAACATCCTCTTCTTCTTGTATCCAGAAGGTCAACCATTCATTTCCATTGGCAAATTCTTTCTTTAGGAGGTGTCTTTCTCTCTGTGGTAGTTTCAAGGTATTGCTCAGGTAGGCCTTGGCTTCTTCTTCTGTTTCCCCTGGAATATTGGCTGTCATGGCCCCAAGTCTATATATTCCTTCTTTTTTAATAAAATATGGATTTGTCAGTGGAGCGAAATCCCTGTTTCTCATATCATATGAGCTATACTCACTGATGTTGTTGTCTTTTATTTTCTCTTGAAGCCTTTATATTTCGGCCTCTTCTTGTTCATGATCACTGGTCATTGTGATTTCATTATCTATTGTTGACTCAGTATCTACATGTTCTGTGATCTCCATTGGTTGACTTTTCGGCTCCTGTGGATCACTTGTATTTTTGATAATTTCTATGAATTTGGCTTCTATATAAGGCTGTAGAAGATCTTCTTCTTTTCCCTTTCCTTGTTGCCAGAGGTATAGGATATGTTGAATAAAGATCCGTTCCTTATGGAATATTGTTTTGTCTATTCCTAGGATATTAGCAATAATACTATCTAGAATAGTAAAAGTTTCTGGTGCGGGAGTTGGTTCTTCTTTTGGGTCTCCTTCTTTTTATCTTATCAATTGTTGGGATGTCCATAGTTCTGAGATTTCATCATATTTTCTTGAAAGTTTAATTAAAGTATTCAAGATATCCTCCTCCCTTTTGTTTACTATATGGAGAATGCGTTGTGCCCTATCCATGTTTGCTATGTCACATGATTATTGAATGAGTCATGCTTCGCAGATTAACTCTGTTTATTTGTTTACTTTTTCAGATAGCATTAATGGGATTTTCTAATATATCTGTTGTGCTAATAGATCATTTATAGGGTAAACATGAGTTGCAGATTGTTTATCTGTTTATTTGTTAATTTCAGTAACACGTGTACTGGTTCTATTAAGGGGTAAACCGGATATAAGGAACATGTTTTGTGATTAGCTAGAACATGTGTTGAGCTTGTTTATCTATTTAGAGACACGTCACGTAATCTGTTGATATGTCTCTGTTGTCTAAAGAGACATGTTCGTGTTTGCGTTACATCTAGTTGTTTATGCGTTGCTGATATGTTGTTATTGATAATCTCTAGCTGTTGCTCTTGGGTTCCTGACGTTCTCTTAGGTCTTGCAAATTTTAAGTTTTGACTAGTTTATCGGTTGAGATTACTATATTGCCAGGTTCCTTCTAATGTCTAGAAAGGTATGAATCTGTACTGGCCTGATTGGAAGCTAGGAGAGTTGATGTTGCGTTTCTTGGCCTTACTGTGATTCAGATTTACTTTTGTTTTCCCTTTTTCTCAAAAGTTGATGAATAAAGTACTAATATTATTATTATGTACTCTTCTTCTGGTGGCTTGTTTATAGAGCTTTATGTGTTGCTTCAAGTGGGTTGATGTAGTTGTGTTTCTCTTTACTGTGTTTGCTGAGTTTGGTTTGTGTTATCCTTTTTCTCTAAAAAATTACCAAAAAAGGAAATTTTTAGAAAAATAGTGGTTTATAGCTTTAGCTTATCATTATCTTTATTGTTTCCAAATATATATACTTATATTTATACTTTGTACAATGTATATACGTAATTTGAAAAACAATAAAGTTGTGCATGAGCCCATCAAAAAAAAAAAAAAGTTGATTTGAATAAGAATTTTTTAAAGAAATTTTTATTGTTTTTTTTTTTAAACCTACAATTATATTATTATAGTATATTTTTATTGAGATATTAGAAATATCTATAACATTATATGGATCATTTATATAATAATTAACTTATTTTTATATATTATTAGTTAAAGAATTACTTTATTTAAAAATTTGAAAAGTTTATTAAACTAATTTAGAAAAAATAAAACAAAGTTTAAACTAGATACTTTAAGTTAGATTTAGAAAACAATATTATATTTTTCTTATAAATTGATAATAATTTCTATCTATTAGGATTACTATCTATAGTTTGTTATTGTAAATTATTCTGAAAAACAATAAATTATTAAATTATATATTAGAAAAAAAGAAAAAAAAAAAGAAATTAATTTATAATTTTCCAAAAGGTTCTTATTTAAGTAAACAGTTTTCTTTTAAGAAAGATCTGCCTGATTGAGATATTCTTTAAACTTCAGACCATCTAAAGAACTTAGCTATTTATGAATATAAAAACTTCAAGAAGAATGTTTGAGAAACTTATATTTTTACTAATGTATAGATTTATTTATTACACTATTACTGATATCAATACTATAATATAGTAAAGTTAACTTGATTAAAATAAAAAAGTCTTTATAGAAACTTTGTTTAACTAGAATGAAAGCTTAGAAACCTTAGCTTTCTTTTTATAAAAAAATCTTTTTAATATCTGAAGAATTTGATTAATAGATAAAAATGCCATGTTTTATTTTCTTGCTTGTTTTTTGATATTATAATTGTTTTTCGTGAAAACTTGCTTAGTTGAAAGGTACCTTTCTTACAAACTTTTTTTTTCAATCATTAATAATGTTATTAAAACATCTGAGTATAATCAATAGGAACTTATTTATATTTTAGAAACTAATATGTTTATGTTAACCAATTATCTTTAATAAGGAGTTGTACTATAAAAAATTTAAAGTCAAATTAAAATAGATAAAATTTTCAGAAAACTGTAAAAGTGGAAGCCTAAAAGAGCTAGGACAATTTAAAATGAAGAAAATAGGTTTTTTAATTGTAACAAAACCTATATAAATCTTTTGCTTTAAAGATTAAAAGATTTTTAAATACTTTATAGTTAGTTTTTCTTCTTTTGAAAAGTTTCTTATCATTGGTATCAAAGGTATTACTTGACTTTTCTTGATCTTTAAAAATCAAGTTTTTAAGTGAAGAGGTTTATAAACAAGAAAGAAGTGTAAAAGTGATTCTTAAAGTTATATTTCAAGTTGTTTTAATAAAAGTGTTAAGACTTTATTAGTAAAAAAGTGTAAAAACTTTTTGCAAACATTTTTTTGTATGTAATTAGAGAACCAGTGAAAAGAGTTTTTCTTTTTTCTTGTTAATATATTTTTTTTTAATTTTTTTTTTAAAATAATTATAATAATAATTAATATAAATTAAAATATTAATTTATTAAGGAAATAAAGTATTGTTTTTTAAATCTGATTTAAAGAAGTACTTAGTTGAAATATTTTTTGATTTAGTTTGAATTGATTTAATAAACTTTTATTATTTATTAAAAATATATTTCTTTAACTTACAAAGATAAATTAATGGTTATATAATAGTAATATAATATTAAAAAAAAAAAAAAAGTAAATTTATCTTATACTTAATGAATCTAAATATAACAAAGTTTAGATATAATGAAGCTTGCAAGAAAAAATTTTTTAGTATTTTGAATTTTGACTAATTAGTGATATGAATGTTATATGCATAATAAATAAACACTATTATTTATTTCTCTAACCAGCTATTTTTAAAATAATCATTTTGTTTAATAAAAAACTTTGCAGTCAATTCGTGTCAAATTTATTAACTACAACCTGAGAGGTATAGTAATTCTTTTAAAAAAAAAAGCTGCGTATTTTTATCACGATCATGAATGAAACAATTTATCTACGAAATTAATAAACAAACATCGGTCATAAAAACTTTTTTAAAAAAGGTATTTCGCATTCATTTATCATCTATTGATTTAAGAGGCAACAGGACCTTTTCCATTTTGAAATCCACTTGACATGAATTCAAGTACATTTTCCAATGTCAAATTAGCTCGAGTTCCAGTGTCCTCTTTTTTAATCTTGACATCCTCTTCGGGCTCTATTCGAAATTTAATTTCCATTTTTTCGATAGTGTCCTCACAAAACGCTGATGCAGTCCTTACAAGTTCTTTATGCTCGTTATACCGTGATTGCCATTCTTTTTGTAATCTTTCCCATTTTGTTTCATCATTCATGTCCTTTCTGGCATCCCTCTCAAGATCATCCAAACCTTCCTCGATAGCAATTTCCTGTTTTATTTGTTTTTCTCTTTGCGCAATTTCCGGGATAGGTTTTGTTCTTAATAGAGTGGCAATCATCTCTTCTTGATCCTCTGGCGGAATTTCTTTTGGATGAAGTACTATCTTTTTGAAATTCGAATCAATGAACGTGTTCGAAAGGCCCGTATGCTTTGAAAGAAAAATATTGTATCGATTAAGATAATCAACCCTTATTTGCAAAAGAAAAAATGTTAAATCAGCTAAAACTCACTTCATAACGTGAAGTATGAGAATTACCAATTCACATTCGGATCTTCGCTGATGTCGAAGCTACCAAGAAATTCTGTCTGAGCGTCGTTGACTTGTATCATTCTTGATCTTACAATCTCGACCTGATCAAAATTTTCAATGCTAATTTGAGCATAATTTCCCCGAGGCGTTTGCGACATGTTTAAGGGACTCAAAGTGAAAGTTAACACTATCTGATAACTTTATACGGATTGACGCGATTGGTTACATTTAGTACCGAGTCATAGGTGTCGAATCATGTGATTCAGGTCACTGTCGGGCATGATCCGACATCATACTTTGGACATTCTCAACATGCTGTATTTTGTAGTTTGTCTATATAGGTTAAAAAAGAAACAGAAATGGATCAACTGAAAACGGATTTAGATTTTGATGATCTATTGAATCTCGAGTCGAAGTAAGAGATTTTTTCATAAATATCTTTATCATTATTTTCGAAGAATGAAAAAATTTTCTTTAATTAATATCTGTTATAAAAAGGTTCATAGAAATTGGTAGAGAGGATGGTGTCAAAGATGGAATCAAATCGGGTGAATTAGAGGGTCAGATAATTGGATGCGAAAAAGGTTTTGAATTGTTGCAAGAAATAGGATTTTATGATGGCGTGGTAGAAATGTGGATAAAAATCCTGGAAAAAGGATGGAAAAGAACCGCACAAAAATCAAAAAATGAAAGGTGAATCCTTCTTTTAGACAACGTGTTGACAAATTATATTTTCTGCTGACTGACTTTTCAATTAAATAAGGTTACATAAACAATTAATCTCTTTACGTGAATTAATCTCAACATTTCCTAATGAAAATCAACGAAATATCGAGTTCCTGGATCTGTTAGGTAAAATTCGAGCAAAGTATAAAGTTTGCACTTCAATTTTAGGTACATTGAATTTCCAAAAATTCAAAGATACCGAAGATAATCGCATTTAAATAATGCCGATGGCAAATGTTTTAGTGTTAGTGGCATCAGATATTATTGTCATAGGATAGGATGAATGAATGAACTAACGTCTTCTCAACTTAAATTGAAATAAAAAAAAAAAATTTTTTTTTATATTGATTGATAACATTGAGAAAGTACCATGTGACAAATCGAACATTAAGATCAGGAAAGGCATTATGAATTATTTTTATCCTCGACAAACAACTTTCATGATGAACCTCAAGATGATATTGTTTCCATGAAATTGGACCCGATGCCTAAGTTAGAAGGTTGGGATGATTGTGAAGTAAATCCGGATGGTTGTGGAGAAGGTCCAAATCCGATCGGTTGAGGTGGCGGTTGTTGTTGAGTCGTAACGCCCATAAGTTCTGGAATAGATGTTTGTTGTTCCTGTTGGTTACGCTCCATCTGTGTTTCATCCTCAGAATCCCTATACATGACAGCGGAGGTCACCTTGCGTTAATATGTGAAGAAAATTAAAGGAGGGATTTCTACAAAATTGCTATTCACCATTTGATAGGCCTCCTCGTTACTCTGGGTTTATCGGCTAGGATGTTTCGATATAACTTCTCCAACACTACACTTGATGGTGGATTTTCCCTCAACTCTTCATCCATATACTCATTATTCACATAATATCCGACGCGAACGAATTCTTGTTCTTTATAGGAACATGTGATTATGATTACTGTGACATCCAAGATTTCGTTTTGCGGTATACGCTCGGGGTTGGGAGCAGGTACCTTCACGAGACAGGTTAACATTAGTATATAAATTTCTCCGAAAATTGAATAGTTACCCTCAGGATCAATACCTGAAATATAAACTGATTAACTCCGGTAGGGACGGGTCCTACCATGATGCTATCAAGAACTTGATCATATTGATCACTTTCCGAGGAGCCGACGTAAATAATCTTCCATTCCAAATCTAAACAGTGCAATCAGGACTTTGTTAAATGTGTACATTTGTGAATAACTTTTACTGACTTTTGAAGTATACAGTAGATATTAAATATTATAAGTGTTGGTTTGTTTGTTTTTATTTTTTGCAAAGAAAGGTAGATCCTCTCAATATATGCTCATATTCTATATGTTTCTAATAAACGCTGATAAAATATTTGGCGGTGCAAGCAAACAACTTATAATCATATAGAACGTCCTTTCAAATGACTTTGTTTTTCGGAACAACGGCCAAAACGAAAAAGAAAACAGTCTAGGGAGCAGACATACCGTCCGATAAGTTGGAAATACACTCGAACGTGATTTCAAACTTGTAATCTTCAGTGAATAAGGTCGGATTGTCGAGAACTCTGATATTAGTAATGTTAACAACGCTCATGTTAAAAATTCAACTATCCAAACGCGACTTCAAAGGTTTTCATTTATTCAAATTCAAATAGTGTAGTGGTTGTTATTACGTAGTTGATGTACATATAGAATTATTATTTCAAAAATAAACAATGATTCTAGATATCTCACTTCTTTTCTTATTAAATTATATTTTTAATTGTTAAAATCTCTATTTCAAGAAAAGTTTGAGTTTACTTACTATAAATTTTAACTTTATCAATTTTAAATTATTAATTAAAAAAATTATAAAATTCATATATATTATATCTTATTATTAAAAATTTTCTTTCTTTATCAAATTTTTACTTTTGAATAATTAATAAAAAAAATAAAAATATTTAACAATAATAAAACTTTTAAATTATTTATAAAAAATTTTTCAAAAAAAATATAAAAAATAGAACAAGTATTAAAATAAAATATATATAAATAATTTTTATAATTTTTAATTGTATAATTAAAGATTTAAAAATTGATAAAATTGAAATTTATAATAAAAAAAACTCAAACTTTGAAAAGTAACTATTATATTATAGCTAAACTTTATATACAAATTTAATTAATTTATATACTGTATAATTAATATAAAAAATTTTTAAGTTTAATCTTGAAAACAATTTATTATTTTATAATAGACTTTGGATAAAATCTTCTTAAACTATATATTACTATTATTTTTAATTATAATTAAAATTTAAAAAATTATGTAAAGAATAAATTAAAATAAAAAGAAAAAAAATTATTAAAAATATTAAGTATATTATAAAAAAAGAAATAATAATAATAAATTTTTTTTTTTTTTTTTTTTTTAAACCCTTGATCAGACCAGTACTGTCTGTTTATTAATCATTAAGAAAACCGATTGAGATACATAGAACAATTGCATCATGGTTAAACTAAAATCTCATACTGACACACTCGTCAATGGTTTTCAATTCTCAAAAGAGCTTCAGTCTTTAAGTGCAACCTTGGGGACAATATTTCGCTCTGAACTAAGTTTTGGATGAAAACTCTCCTAACTTACCTATCATTGCTAGCAAGTTGTCACTATTTATTATTCTTCAAGGAACTGAATTCAAGAAACTACAACAGGGGAAAAGGAAAATAATAGAAAAGGGGAATATCTATAAATGTGCAAAGGCACTACATAAAAATAAAAAAAGAAAAAAGAAATTTAAAATTGCTCCATGTCTTTCAAAGAACCTCAGCTAGGAAACCTCTTCTCATTAGGAATCAACCCTTCTGGGATATCCTTCTTCTTCCTGACCATCTGAAGAACTTATTCACCATGCTCTTGATTATTTTCTTGCAATTGTCTGAGGTACTTATTGCCTACTTGGATCCAGTGTTTTGTGCAATGCTTTCTTTCTTTCAGTCTTGATTTTGTATCCACCCACACAGAAGAAAATGGCTAACAGTGAACTCCAGATTCTTATATAGCTTTTCAGTCTTGTTGGGTAATTCCCGATATCTTCTAGCAGTTATGCCTAGTTAAAGGAATTTTACTGGTGTTCATCTTGATTGCGATATCATTACACAACGTCTGGGGAAATGCATTCTCAATTCTAGAGAAGGGTAGTGTTTTACATTTCTCTGCTTTTTGGTCTTACAGCCTGATCGGGATAAGAATATAACTTCCTTCGCGTACATTGCCTGACCGGGATGATAAGAAGTTAAAGGCCTCGGCTTGAACAAATAAACACCTTTTCATCATCTAGGGAATTTAATACCCATCCTAATGGTCTCATAATTTCTTTGCTTCAATTACACTTCATTTGGAGAAGTGGAGGATATGCATCAATAGATTCTCTTTCTTTCACCAATGACGTCATCCGAACACATGGAATGATCAGTAGAAACTTGTTTACATTCAGTTACTAATGTGTTTCATGTCCACCAATTATATTTTGCAATAGGTTGGGTTATCTAAAATTCAGGGTCAAACTAAGGTAGGCAAAATTCCCCAGAAAGCCAAAATTTTTAAGTGACTTTAAGAGAGAAGATACAGTGGGCACACACCTTGAAATATGGTTTGATGTTTACCACTTCCCATTGCTAGAAACCTCTATAGATATGCTTCAATATGAAAGGCTTTAAGTACTACATATTAGTTTTTCTTCCTTGTAGAACTTTCTTGTCATTGGTAGAGAAGGTATTTCTTGACTTTTCTAGGTCACAGGAAGCCAAGTTTTTGTTTGAAAATGAATATAAACAAGGAAAAGGGTTTAGAAGTGTCTCTTAAAGTGGAACTTCAAGTTGTTTTAAGGATAGTATTAAGACTTTATTAGCAAAGAAATAAAAAATTTCTTGTAAACATCTTTTTTGTGTGTGGTCAAAGGATCAGCGAAAAGAGTTTTTTATTATTACTATCTTATCTTTACTATTATCTTTATTATCTATATTATTCTTTATTATATTTATTATTTTCACTATTACTATTTTCTTATCTTTTTTTTTCAATTCAATTATTTTAGTAATACAGTATATCAGTTAAGTATTATAAATTAAACTTAAATTATATTAAATTAAAAAAATTTTTTTGAGTACCTATAACAAGGCTAGATTATTAATTTATTAATCAATTAAAAACAAAAGTACATTTTTATTCAAACAGTACAATATATACTACAGTTAAACTATTATTATAATATAACTCATAATAAGTATAAAAGTCTTTAAATTCAGTCTTGGAAACAATATTTCATTCTACAGTATTTTTGGGTAAAAACATTTCTAGTTTATTATATTATTGCCAGTAGATTATTACTGCTATATATCATATCAAGTCACTGAAATACAGGAAAATATAAAAGAATGGGTTGAAAAAAGGGAAGAAATATTTAAAAATGTTTAAATAAATAACAAGAAAATGAAAAAGTAAAAATTGAAAAAAAAATTCCTGTTTTCTTCAAAAACCAGCTTTTTAAAAACTTATTTTTAATAAAAAATATCTAATTGGAATATCCTTTCTTTTTTTGACCATCTGAGAAACTTATCCATTTTTTATCTTGATTTTCTTTTTGTATATTATCTGAGGAGACTTATTGTTTAGTAAAAGCTTTTACTTCCAAAACATACTTGGTTCAACCTTCTTTGGACAGTAATTTTTTATTCATCTGCCATAAAGGAGTAACTTATGATAGATCCTAAGTTTTTATGTAATCTAGTGCGAACTGAGGATGTTTTTTTCATATAATACCTTTCAGCAGTCATATCTAATTAAAGAAATTTTTTGTTATACATCTTCTATTATCCAAAGGCCAAATTTCTCACAATCCTTTTGCCTTGTAATAATAGAAGAGTTTCAAAAAGTGATAGAAATCCTAGTTGATTACAATATCCTTCAATAACTTCTGGAAAAATGTATTTCTAACTATAACTAAAGGATTGAAGCTTAGTATAAACTAGAAACCATTTGGTCTTATTGCTTAATCAAGATAAAAGAAGATCTTGATCTTGAACTTTGACTAACTGAAATGATAGGAAAGAAAGATCTTAGCTAAACAATTAACAATTTTTTCACTACTTGAAGACTTGTTGCTCATATCTTATTGGTCTCATAGAACTTGATCAGTAGGTTAGTCCAATTGAAGAAATAGGGCAAGAATAAATATTAATCAACTTTTCCTATTACCAATAATATTATTAAAACATATGAAATGATTAGTAGGTACTTGTTTAAATTCAACTAATAATATATTTCATATATACCAATCATATTTTGCAATAGATTGTGTTATCTAAAATCTAAAGTCAAACTAAGATAGGTAAAATTCTTCAAAAAATCAAAAAATTTTGGATAACTATAAGAAAAAAGAAACAGTGAACAAATATTTTGAAAATATGGTTTTATGTTCATTGCCTTTTACTGCACAAAACCTTTATAAATATGCTTTAATAGGAAAGACTTTGAGTACTATACTATTAGTTCTTCTTCTTTGCAGAACTTTTTTATTATAAGTAGAGAAAAGTTTTTTAACTTTTCTAAGTCACAAAAAGTCAAGTTTTTGTTTGAGGATAAATACAAATAAGAAAGAGGATTTAAAAGTATCTTTTGAAGTAAAATTTCAAGTTGATTTATAAATAGTATTAAGACTTAATTAGTAAAGAAATAAAAAATTTCTTATAAACATCTTTTTTGTATATGAATAGAGGATTACCAGAACAAGTTTACTTGCTTATATCTTTTTTTTTTTTTTAACCCACAATTATGTCACAATAGCATGTCTTTATTGAGATATTGAGAAATATCTAAATATTTTATAAACTTTTACAAAGCGACTACTCATCATTGTACATTATTAGTTAAAGGACTACACTATTTAAAAATATGAGGAATCCACTAAGCTAGTTCGAATTAAACAAAACTAAGTCTAAACTAAGTACTCTAAGTTAGATTTAGGGAACAATATTTTACTCTCCTAGTAGCTTGGCAATAGTGCCGCTAAGTCTGCCAAGGTCATTGCCAACAGTTTGTCACTGTAGATTATCCCGAAAAATAATGAATTGCTAAAGTTGGCACTGGAAAAAAGAAAAAAGGGAATGCAAATCAAAGCCCTCCAAAAGGTTCTTGCTCTA